TCTTAAATGTGGAGATGGTGTCTGCCTCCTGAACCCAAACTGGAACCTGGTTCCACAGGAGAGGAGCTTGATAGCTGAACGCTCTGGCTCCTAGTCTACTTTTGGAGACTCTAGGAACCACAAGTAACCCTGCATTCTGGGAGCGCAGTTCTCTGGTGGGGTAGTAAGGTACTATGAGCTCTTTAAGATAAGATGGTGCCTGACCATTAAGAGCTTTGTAGGTAAGAAGAATGATTTTAAATTCTATTCTGGATTTTACTGGAAGCCAATGCAAAGAAGCTAAAACAGGAGAAATGTGATCTCTTTTCCTGGTTCCTGTCAGAACACGTGCTGCAGCTTTCTGGATCAGCTGAAGAGTCTTAATGGACTTTTTCGAGCAGCCTGATAATAAGGAATTGCAGTAATCCAGCCTAGAAGTAACAAATGCATGGACTAGTTTTTCTGCATCATTTTTAGACAGGATGTTCCTGATTTTCGCAATATTACGTAGGTGAAAAAAGGCGGTCCTTGAAATTTGCATCATCTGCATAACAATGAAAGCTTATGGAATGTTTCCTGATAATATTGCCTAAAGGAAGCATATATAAAGTGAAGAGGATTGGTCCGAGGACAGATCCTTGAGGAACTCCATGAGTAACTTTGGCATGCATGGAGGACTAAATAGGACTTAAACCAGCTTAGAGCGGTTCCTTTAATGCCAATGAAATATTCCAGTCTCTGCAATAGGATCTGATGGTCAATGGTATCAAATGCAGCACTAAGATCTAATAAAACCAGTACAGAGACAAGTCCTTTGTCTGATGCAATAAGGAGGTCGTTAGTAATTTTCACCTGTGCTGTCTCTGTGCTATGATGAGCTCTAAATCCTGACTGAAAATCCTCAAATAAACTATTGCTCTGTAGAAAGTCACACAGCTGTTTAGCAACTGCTTTCTCCAGAACCTTAGAGAGAAATGGAAGGTTAGATATAGGTCTATAGTTGGCTAAAACATCCGGATCAAGTTTGGGCTTTTTCAGAAGAGGTTTAATTACAGCTACTTTAAAGTACTGTGGTACATAGTCTGTTGATAAAGATAGATTGATCATATCTAGTATAGAAGTGCTGACTAAGGGTAGAACATCTTTAAGCAACCTAGTCGGGATGGGGTCTAAGAGGCAGGTTGATGGTTTAGATGAAGAAATTATTGAAGTTAGTTGGTAAAGGTTGAGGGAGGCAAAACAGTCTAAACATATATCTGGTTCTACAGCTGTTTCTAAGGTTCCTGAGTTAAGAGATAAGTCGTGCCAGTTGAGGGCAGGTCTTGGTGAATTTTGTCTCTAATAGCTAGAATTTTATCATTAAAGAAGCTCAAGAAGTCGTAACTACTGAGAGCTATGGGAATACTTGGCTCAATAGAGCTGTGACTCTCTGTCAGCCTGGCTACAGTGCTGAAAAGAAACCTGTGGTTGTTCCTATTTTCCTCTATTAATGACGAGTAGTATGCTGCTCTGGCATTACGGAGGGCCTTCCTATAAGTTTTAAGACTATCTTGCCAAATTAAACGAGAATTTTCCACTTTGGTGGAACGCCAATTCCTCTCAAGTTTCCGTGATATTTGCTTTAATTTGCGAGTTTCAGTATTATACCATGGAGCTAACCGTCTTTGTTTTAGTATTTTCTTTTTTAGAGGGGCTACAGAGTCGAGTATCATTCGCAGCGAGCCTGCAGCACTATCAACAAGATGATCAATTTGGGAGGGACTGAAATTAGCACAGGAGTCCTCTGTTACTTTGTGACTAGATAATGTATTTAGAGCTGATGGAATCGCATCCTTAAATTTAGCTACAGCACTATCACACAGACATCTTGTATAGAAAATTTTGCCAATGGCGTGTAGTTCAGCAATACAAACTCAAAAGTTATCAAACAGTGGTCGGACAAAGAGGGATTCTGTGGGAACACCACTAAATGTTCAATTTCAATACCATACACCAAAACAAGGTCGAGGGTGTGGTTAAAACAGTGAGTCGGTTCATGAACACTCTGAGAGAAGCCGATGGAATCTAACAGAGAGATAAACGCAGTACTAAAGCTGTCATTCTCAACGTCCACATGAATATTAAAATCCCCTACAATAATAACTTTGTCCGTTTTAAGGACTAAAATTTACAAAAACTCTTCAAATTCAGATAAGAATTCAGAGCACGGACCAGGTGCTCGGTACACTATAACGAAGAGAATTGGTTGCAGTGATTTCCAACTTGGGTGCGAAAGACTAAGAACAAGGCTTTCAAATGAGTTATAGTTTAGTTTAGGTTTAGAGCTGATTAATAGGCTAGAGTGGAAGATAGCTGCAACTCCACCTCCTCGGCCTGTGCCTCGAGGAATGTGAGTATTAATATGACTGGGAGGGGTGGATTCATTTAGGCTAACATATTCTCCATCACCCAGCCAGGTTTCAGTAAGACCAAATAAATCAATATCATAATCTGATATTAGTTCATTTACTAGTACACCTTTAGAAGAGAGAGATCTGATGTTTAAGAGTCCACATTTAACTCTCCTATTCATTTGCACTATTGCTCTTGTGGTTTTAATTTTTATGAGGTTTTTATGCACAGCTCCTCTTCTGTTTACCTTTTTAAATAATTTCGATGGTCGGGGGGCAGACACCGTCACTATAGGGTTTTCACTAAGTAACTCCTGAAATGGAGGAGCAGAGAAGTGTGTTAGACTGCGACTCTGCGTAGGGTTTTGGGTGGGTAACTGCTGAAAAAGAAGGGCAGAGAAGTGTGTTAGACTGCGACTCTGCCTCCTGGTCTCAACTCTGGGTTGTCATGGATTTGGTCCACTAATAAACTTGGCCAGATTTCTAGAAATGAGAGCTGCTCCTTCCCAAGTGGGATGGATGCCGTCTCTCCGGATCAGTCCAGGTCTTCCCCAGAAAGTCTGCCAATGATCAACAAAGCCCACATCGTTTGCTGGACACCACCTCGACAACCAGCGGCGGAATGACGACATGCGGCTATACATGTCATCACTGGTCAGATTTGGCAGGGGTCCAGAGAAAACTACGGTGTCCGACATTGTTTTTGCATATGTACACACCGACTCAACATTAATCTTAGTGACCTCCGATTGGCGTAACCGGGAGTCATTACCGCCGACGTGAATAACAATCTTACTGTATTTACGTTTATCCTTAGCCAGCAGTTTCAAATAAGACTCAATGTCGCCCGCTCTGGCCCCAGGGATGCACTTAACTATGGCCGCTGGCTTCGCTAAATTCACGTTTCTCAAAATGGAGCTGCCAATGATCGGAGTTGGTTTCTCAGCGGGTGTGTCGCTGAGTGGGGAAAATCTGTTAGAGACGTGAACAGGTTGATGATGCCCCGTGGACTTTGAATGCTTACGACTATTCCTCCTTCGGACAGTCACCCAGCCCCCCCTTCCTGGCTGCACAGGGGATGCCGGGACGGCTACCAGAGGCTAACTCAGGCCGTTCCGCACCGACTACCGGGGACTGGCTAGCTACAGTAGCTAAAGACTGATCTACCAAGGTGCGGAGCCGGACTTCTAAATCACTGAGCCTCGCCTCTATGTCTATAAATAAACTACACTTATTACACGTACCATTACCGCTAAAGGAGGCAGAGGAGTAACTAAACATCTGACACACCGAGCAGGAGAAAGTAGGAGAGAGAGAGGGAGAAGGAGAAGCCATCGCTAGCTGCTAAGATAAAGTACTGTAACGTCAGCTACCAAAACTTTAGAACAACTATGAGATTGAACAGCAGTCACTAAAAGATGGAAAGAACTGTGAGTGCTTAGGCAAAATTACTGTAAAGAATAAGTGTTTAGCGGACAGTTGGCCGCTGTAATCAAACAAATGTAACTGTTATTTAGCGAGAGCAGCACAACACGGTACCAACACACAAGCAACGGAAACGGAAATGAGTCGACACGCTTACCGCAGTATGTCAGCACAAGCAAGAGTTTACATCAAAATACCTTGACATGCTAAATGTACTATTAAATCAAGTCAGCAACAAACATGATTGTTCTATTTAACATCTAGAATCTTTCCTGCCACAGTCAGCCATCTTACTTTAGTTCAACTAAACTGTCCAGTTGTGTTGACAAAGTTTCAGACTTTCTGAACTCTAGAGTTTCTGCTTTATAGAGTAAATATTTGTAATTGTATATTACTGCTGTTAAGGTGGGATGAAAACACAACAGATTTATGTTTAGAAGCTAAAATTTATTGGCTCCTGTACAAGATGCTGTTCTGTCAGCAGAGCTCCTCCTACCAGGGTGAAGATACTCAAACGCTGCTGTGAACTAGATTTGGCTGTTTGTTAAGAAACAGTCTGAACATATTGTTCTAACGTGAGTTTTTATTGCACAAACTGCAACAGCCTTCATGACAGATCAGTGAGGGATGTAAAGGACACAGTCATGGCTGAAACAGCTCAGCGTCTACATATGGCTGTGACACTAAAGAAAAGTTACTCTTTAAACCTGTGAACAGTGGCTCCTTCTGTTTGTTGCTGCTTGTTTTTATCAACACTAACGAAACTTGTCTCCACTTTGTGTCAGAACACTGTGGTTCCATGGAGCGTCTATGTAGCACACAATATAACAAGGGTTTTCTCATGGAGGACTTTTAAAATGTACAACCTTTTATCAACATTAAGAACACACAAAGCTCTTTTACCAAGAAAACACTTGGAGCTGTAAACAGTTTCCAACAGTTTCAACCAGTATGCAGACATTTTTACTACAAATCTGTGTTTGTTGAGCTGCTTTCAGAGTTTACAGCCTGTTTTTAAAGGAAAGGATCTCTGGTTTCAGTGTCTCTCCGTTAACATGCAGCATGACTCTCAGATGAAACTCATAAGTACACTTCAGGCTTTCAAGTCATAAAAACCCAGAGAATAAAAAACAGTGAGGAACTTTATACTTCTGCTTTTATGCTATTTATTTAAATTCAGATGTAACTGCATGTAGAGATCACAACTCTATTTAAGGCTCATTTATTGATCATTTCAATGTTATTATTCCAAAGTGAAAAAAGCCTGGAGGAACTATGAATACAAAATACAGAAAATATAAAAAGTATTTAACTAAATAATAATTAAACTTAAATTTAGTAAAATGAAGTCAGTCAGAAAGAAAGTGTTCACATCAAGGCCGTAATCATAATATATATCCGTTGGGACACTTCCACCACCCCCCCATATTCAAATATGCTCAAAATCCCCCCCCCCCCCCAATATAGGTATATAATATTGCTATTATTAGACAGGCAACTATGGACCGCCGTACGGAACTTTGGCTAGCTAGTATACATTCCATAACTTCAGACAGGACATGGATGAAAGCCGGCATTAATATGAATACTTAATTTTGAAGTGGATTGTTGAAATAAAGAATATTTTAGTTGAAAGTGTCAGTAACTGTTTGCAGTAGAATTGGTGAAACGGGATGATTTACAGCGATAAATTATTACATTTATTACGTTATGTTTGTCAGACAGCCATTGAGTAAAGTGTCTGAAAGTGTACTTGCTCATGATAAATAGCATTATTAGTGTTTGTTTGATTAAAGTGCAAGCAGTTTAAATAGTGAGTTTCCAATCAGTGTCATGAGCAAGAGGAAGTAACAAGTTAATGTCCCAGAATCATAAATCACTCTTTCACAGGGCAGTTCAGACTGCAGCACTGTTGGGATTCCTCTGTCAGTCACTGCTGGATGAAGCTCTCCTCTCCACTCTACCTCCCAGTAACATGGCCCAGTCAGAGCCTCTCCACACACAAGCTGATGTTGCTGCTTCAACCTCTCTGGATCATCAGGACACAGCTGATCCTCTCTCAACACCACCACCTTTCTGATTCCTCGCAGTCTGACGGAGATCACTCCTTCCAGCTGATGAGAGAAGAAGACAGCAGAAGTCATAAATCAGAGTTTACAGAGACTCCCTTCATCTGCTGTCAGTCAGTGATGCAGCACATCCAGTATAAAGACCAGCAGGGACTTCAGTCCTGTTCAGACCAGAAGTTGAGCGGCTGTGTAGCGCAGCCAGCTTCCTTTCAGCTCTCATGTTAACGTATTAACACACTGAGACCTGCAGAGACTTTGGCCATCAGCTGTTTACTCTGCAAAGTGCTGAGAGTCCCTGAACGCATCATGACTGCAGAGACAGAGAGATATTCACTGCTCACTGTAATGATGGATTTACTGCTGTTAGGGCTCAAAGCTGTTAAAACCAGCCACTCAGTCACATTTGAAGATTTCATCTACTTTTGAAATATTACAGGACAAATCTGTAAATATGGAGTCTGTTCTAAAAACATCTGGACCAAACTAAAGACACATGGATTTATATATATAGATATATATGATGTTAAAGGTCCTACATGTTCATACAAAGACTGAACAGCTAAACATCAGCTGTGCTTACTGGACTTCAGCAGAGGTTCTAGTCTGTAGAAAGACCTCATGGTTACTAAATGTAATGATGGTTCTCTGAAATAAGAGCCAGTGATTTGCAGGCTTCAGTCAGACTGATCTCAGAGCTGTGACAAAGATGAACTGATCAGTAGTTTAGTGTTGAAATGAGAGAACAAACACTTTGAGATCAGATTTGATGGTACAACAGTTTGATGAATGAGGACCACTGTCTCTATACATGTCTATGAAGATTCTCAGTCATCCAGGTCATAGTTATCCAACGAAGGTTAAAATCAAGGGCAACTGGACTTGGTTGAAGATACTGGAAGACGTTTCGTCCCTCATCCAAAGGACTTCTTCAGTTCTGACTGACTGGCAGGGAAACTCAGCTATTTAACCTCAGTGGGGTCGTTGGCCCGGGTCATCGATACCGCTGGTTCGTTAGTGTGCCTTGTTGCTGTGACGACAGTCGTTACAGTCGTTAAGACTACCTGTGGCCAAGACTGAACGACCATCGTTGGTATCTTCACCTGAGGCCAATAGGTTACGTTTGTTGAGTTTCCTGGGAAGTGATGAAGTGACTTTGAGATCAGATTTGATGGTTCGACAGTTTGATGAATGAGGACCACTGTCTCTATACATCTTGTGATGCTGTCAGCTGGAATCCAGCTTTATTTCCTGGAGACATGAACACAACAACAACAGTCGTCTTCACACCAACTCAAACACATGATCACAACAAGCTTTTGGCTCATCTGATTGGCTGCCTGTTCTCTCTCTCTGTCTTTCTGTCACCGTTCTCCTCTCACAACTTCACTGAGGAAAGCAGCCGCTGAGAAGGTTGGAGGTTTACAGGAAATACTGGATCTCTGCTTTGATACTAACTGTGTTTAGTACAATACTGCTGAAACCAGCATGGACTGACTCCAACCCTCTACTGACCTCAGAGTCTCCAGTCTGCAGTGTGGATTCTTCTTCAGATCAGACAGCAGCTTCACTCCTGAATCCTGCAGCTTGTTGTTACCCAGCTGCAGCTCTCTCAGATGGGAGGGGTTGGACTTCAGAGCTGAGGCCAGAGAAGCACAGCTGATCTCTGACAAACTGCAGCGCTCCAATCTGAATGAAGAATAAATGATGGAGATAATAATCCATTTCTAATCCAATCAGATGTGTTCAGGTTTTAAATGTGGAGCTCAACATTACTATGTCCTAATCAATTAGCTTGTCCCTAAAATGACCAGTCTGGAACTAGAGAAAAGAAACTATTGAAAAAAATTCCAATGGAAATTATATTAGAGAATGGTGACACGGAAAACAAAAAGTAAATAGTGGATTGGAAAATGGGGATTTTTCAGATTTATTCTCAGGAAATTATATTCCGCCAGGTTTTTCAGGTTTGTGACGGCCCCACGGCCTCTGTCAGGTTGTGTGTCTTGTGTTTTGTTGCAGGGTGAACTTCCTGGTGGAGTGGAGCTGAGGCCTTCAGGCAGATAGGAGGCAGCTGGCCACTGTCTCCAGATTGCATAAAGCCCGCCCCTTCCTGATTGTTGCGGGCCTTGACTGTTTGCTTTTTCCTGGTCCCCAGCACCACGGTGTGTTGCTTTGTTGCGCTTTTGTTAGTTAATCTGGCGTTATGTTTTGCCAGCCACATTTGTTAAGCTTTAAAATGATTTGTTATATTTGTTAAATTTAACTACTTTTGTTGATAAGGGATTACCAGAAAAGGATGTTTAAATATGGTTTCCTCTATTTGTTGTGGCCTCTGAGCTGGGCCATAACAATGATGCACATTTAAATAACATTTGTGTTAAGAAATGTAAGTCTGAGATGATTATGGATACACCAGCAATGTATAGTGGTACAGTTGCTAGTGTTGAGATTAACGATTTATTTACTGATTGGTTTGATATCTTTTAGAGTAAAACAAGGTGATATACTCTCTCCAACCCTTTTTGCTTTATTTGTGAATTATTTAGCTCTACAAATTAAGGATGCTAATTTAGGAGTATTACTTGATGGTACTAATTTGGGAATTCTATTATATGCGGATGATATAATCTTAGTGTCTGAGTCTGAATTACAGAAAATTTTAAATGTTGTTCATTTGTGGTGTTTCAAGTGGCAATTAGGTATAAATCAAAGCAAAACACATAACGCATTTTAAAATGAAAGGCACAGACAGAAGTACAAATATATTCAGCTTTGGCACAGTCACTCAAGACTATGTTAGTGCGTATAAATATCTGGGGGTTTTTCTTGATGAATTTTTGACCTAAAAGGGTGGTATTAAGTCTCTTGTTGATTCTGGCGAGTAAATAAGAGAGTATTTAGGTGGAGTAAAGCTCACAGGTCTCCATGGGTAAAGGAGATCTATTCTATTTTTGAGGAGGTGGATATGTTGTATATCTACAGGAATAATATAAGTTGTAATGTTAACTCGAATCTCATTTCCTCTTATATTGTACACATTAAGATTATCTAAGAGAATCTTTGTTTCTGGAATCTCAAATATTTTGGTATGCTGACGATCAAAAATTTGTATGCTTGTTTAACTATGATATGTACAGAAATAAAAAATGTATATACAAGATAGCCAGGTCCAGATTACATCATATACTTTTCTAACCAAATAGAAACAAGAATTAGAATCAGAATAATAATAGTAATAATACATATGTATTCAGATACATGCATGTATGTGTTCATACACAGATGTATTCACATTTACTCAGATAACCACCAACATAAACCCATAATCCTACACAGAACAAAATTAAATCTAGTTAAACAAACTAGCTTGCCTTCTTTTCCAAGACTTTGAGACAAAGTTTGCAAACTTAAATGCATTTGTAAATATGATTTGATCTGTGTGTGTGTGTTCTGAAGGATCAAAATCAATGATCAGACATTATTTGTGAAAACACATTGAAATCAACAGAAAACAAAGAAATATTTCTACTTCAGCAGAAAACTTGATCAGTTTAAACAAAAAATTTGTTCAAAGGATCTTCTGTTTACAGATGTAACTATTTACCAATAATTAGCAACGTTCATTTTCTACAGTTTATTTAAGAGTCTTTAGTCTGCGGTCTTTGTGACTGCAGACTAAATTTAGTACAAGAAACATGAAAATATGAACAAAAGAACATTTACTTTATTGATGGAAGTTATGTATGAACAGAAATTAGGTTGAATTGTTAATTAAACATATCAGATCTACAATAGTAACAGAGAGTCAGTGAACTGACCTCAGAGTCTCCAGTCTGCAGTGTGGACTCTCCAGAAAACCACACAGCAGCTTCACTCCTGAATCCTGCAGCTGGTTGCAGTCCAGGTCCAGTTCTCTCAGATGGGAGGGGTTGGACTTCAGAGCTGAGGCCAGAGAAGCACAGCTGATCTCTGACAAACTGCAGCCCCACAATCTGAATAAAGAATAAATGATGTAACGTTAGAAGACAATGTTCCTGCTTGAAATCATTCAGTGTTTAATAATCTGTTCAGAGCTGAAGAAGGTTTAGAATGTAGAAGCTTAGAAAATGGAAACCCTAAACACCTGAACCCAACAGGATGCAGGTTCAAACTGTAAAATACAAAAAGGTAAAAAGAGCTCTCATTAATATTAATGACAACGTGCTGCTACTTCAGTAAAGACGTAGTGACTTCACCTCTTTAACCCTGCAGCTCCACCAGTGACTCCATCTATACAAACTCATGTTGTGCAGTCAAACACAAAGAAAAACCCACAGAAACTGATTTAAGATTCCACTCAAGATCCCAAAGTTTCCAAAGATGTCAAATATATCAGCATGAACTTTGGGGAAATGTGAACAAAAGACATCTAAAATATTTATTTTAGGAATAGTGGAGTCATAAAATCAAAGCTTCTTCACTTTAAACTATTCAGTCAGTATAAGCTTCATAACAATGTTGGAAAAACAAATAATATATTTGAATATATTTGTTATTGTCTGATAGTTGAAATAGAGATTATTTATTTATTCATTGTATTTATCCATCCATCCGACGTCAACCGCTTATCCTGCGTACAGGGTCGCAGGGGGCTGGAGCCAGCTGACATCAAGCGAAAGGCAGGGTACACCCTGGACAGGTCGCCAGTCCATCACAGGGCCACTCATAGACAAACAACAACTCATGCTTAATCACACCTGTGTAATTACAAGTGTTATGTATTGTTATAGTGCTAGGAGTGCGTTTGTAAAATACAGTCCATGTTCTGTGTGAACCTAGCAAGCCACCATAACTCCTCTCGAGTTGTTGTTCTGGAACCACAGTGCGTGGCATGGAATACAGCGTTACAGTGAACAACAGACAGGTCTCCTTTCGGTCACGGTAGCAGTATATTACATGGTGTCAGAAGTCTGGCGAACAGTGCCGAAGTGTAGTCATGGCTACTCCGCAGTTTGAACACCCGAAGATTGACTGGGATGCAGCTGACTTATACCAGGAGTTCGACAGATTCAGAAGCCATGCTGGATTAGTTTTTGACGGCCCGCTGTCGGAGCTAACGGCCAAGCGGAAAGCAGGCTGGCTGGGCACGTGAATAGGCGAACAAGGCAGAGAAGTCTACAAGACGCTCAACTGAGCAGAGGGTGAGAAAGTACTGGATAAGTTTGCAAGCTACATCAGGCAGAGAAAGAATAAGAGGATTGCTCGTCATTGCTTCAAGTAGAGGAAACAAGGGTCAAGTGAGAGTTTTGACCACTTTGTTAAAGACTTAAAACTGCTTTTAATGGACTGTGAGTATGCTGAGCCTGATAACATGGTGATTGACGCCATTATCGCCGAGGTCCATGAAAGAAAGAGTGCAGGAAAGGCTGTTAGACAGAGGGGAGGATCTGACTAGTTAAAGCCTTAGAAATTCCACAACAATACGAAATGTCTCAGAAGCAAATGAAAATTGTCAGAGATGATAATGTATGCTCCCAAGTTTCTACAGTAGCAGCTAAACCTAAGACAGTCAGCCAAAACAGAAAGATTATCCAGAAAGTCCAAAGCCAGCACAGCAGAAAATACTAGCCAACTGTGCTAGCTGTGGCAAGCACTCCGATCACAAATGGAATAAAGGAAGGTGTCCAGCCAAAGGCTCAACATGTTCTTACTGTTACAAACCCAATCACTGGATGGCTGTGTGCCTTAAACACGCAGTACACACACTGTGTGTCGAATCAGCAGTTCAAGAGCAAACTGATGAGGACTTGCTGAACATCAGCATGACCCAAGTTGTGGCCCCCGTAAACTCATTAACTGATGACAAGTGGTCAGTATGTGTCACCATACAGTCACAGGAGGTCCCATTCAGGATAGACACAGAGGCCAAATGTAATACGCCAACACTGGACAGCTAACAACGACTCATGCATACTGGTGAACTAAAATGCTCTCAAACTTGGCTACGCTGCTACTCCAACCACGAGCTTAAACCTGTTGCAGTAGTGGATCTAACAGTCAAGCACAAAAACCGTGACACTACTGCTGAGTTTGAGATCGTCAATATAGTACAAGAGAGTGTGCTCAGTGGAACTACACCAGAGGCACTAGGTCTGATAGCCAGGCTGGATTCCCTACAAGAGGCTGCTGAAGCTAAAAACGGAAGGGCCTAAGCGACTTCCCAGAACTGGTGCGTACTACAGGGACCTTGCCGGGCAAATACACAATAAAAATATAGCCCAGTGCTAAAAGCGTAGAACATCCTGTGCGCAGGCAACCTTCCGCGCTTAAAGAAAAGATCTCCAAGAGATGGCAGAAGATGGCTACATCACCAAAGTCGAGCAGCCCACAGAATGGGTTAGTTCCATGGTGGGAGTCACACGTGGAGGAAAGATAAGAATCTGCATAGATCCCAGTGATCTAAATAAAGTCATCAGGAGGGAACACTACCCCATGCACACAGTTGAGGAAGTTGTCATCCATGCCAGGTGCCAAAGTATTCTCTGTCCTGGATGCAAAATCTGGATTCCTCCAGATAGAACTGGATGAAGACCCTTGAGATTGAATGTGGTGAGTTTCTCACCACATTCAAGCATATTATGGATGGCATGCTGATAGCAGCACCTACAGTGAAAAAGCATGATGACATTCTGCGCAAAGTCATAGAAAGAGCAACAAGCTACAACCTGAGACTAAACTTCAAAAAGTTTCACATTTGGAAAAGCCAGGTGCCGTACATGGGGAACTTACTGACCACGGATGGTCTGAAACCAGACCCGGCTAAAGTTGAAGCAGTCCGATGCATGCTTCCACTGATAAGGATGGAGTGCGCCGCTTCCTGGGGTGTAACAGCGTTACAGTGAACAACAGACAGGTCTCCTTTCGGTCACAGTAGCAGTATATTACACTAAGTACAATTTAGGGTGACCAATCACCCTAGGCCGCATGTCTTTGGACAGTGGGAGGAAGCTGGAGAACCCAGAGAGAACCCACGCTGACATGGGGAGAACATGCAACACATAAAGCATTTGAACCCACGACCTTCTTGCTGTGAGGCGACAGTGCTAACCACTGCACCACCTCATTGTAATTATGTATATTATCATTATCATTTATTTAAAACATGGAGAATAGAAGCTAAAAATCAGGAGTTTAAGAGCGTCAGAGTGAATTATCCAGTGGAGATGTTTCTTGTTATATTAAGCTTTTAAATGTGGAGCTCAACATTGCTCTGCCACAGTCAATGGACTAAACCGGAAGAAGAAAATAGACTTTAGCATTAAGATCCTCAGTGTGGATCAGTATAATATCAGCCTTATGTCTGCACTTTAGTGTCACCACAACTTTCACATCATATTAATCTCAGCACAGAATTAAAAAATGGTGTCTGACCTCAGAGTCTCCAGTCTGCAGTGTGGACTCTCCAGAAAACCACACAGCAGCTTCACTCCTGAATCCTGCAGCTTGTTGTCACTCAGGTCCAGCACTCTCAGATGGGAGGGGTTGGACTTCAGAGCTAAGGCCAGAGAAGTACAGCTGATCTTTGACAAACTGCAGCGCCTCAATCTGAATAAAGAATAAATGATGGAGACAAAAATCTATTTTTAATCCAATCAGACATGTTCAGGTCTTAAATGTGGAGCTCAACATTACTATGTCCTAATCAATGTGGTTTTTCCTAAAATGAGTAGAGGGACTTTGTCCCTTTGTAGAATAACACAGACATCATCCAAATGTCAGAACAACATTCACACACCTATTCATGTCAACACAGATCACTAACATGCTGCTGATCTCAGGCCAGTCTGGAATAATCATCAAATCTGACATTTTGTTTCTTTAGTTACTTAATTTTCTCCAGTTTCTTCTAATTCATAACAATCATGTGTCATTTTATGAAAAATACTAGTGAAAAATAACAGTGAAAACAAAACCTTACAGAGCGCTTTCACACCTGTCCCAGCACTTCTGATGCTCATTTCAAAGCACAGATTTAGCCTCTCCTCATTACCACTGTCATCCCCATCAACACACAGTTGACAGACTATGAGCTTCGTCCTCAGTCGTCTTTAGAACTGGATCAAATGTGCACTGAGTAAAGTGAGAGGCTCGTTCTCTTTATCTTAAATGTAACCGAGTACCTTCCTGTACAAATATACTGTTTTTATTTATGCTCCTGTTTACTGGCTGGGTCAGAAAACAAATCATTTCCTGATCATCATCATCATCATCATCATATGTGTTTTGAAGGTTATATATAAAAATACATTTTTCCTGAAAATGTGTTGAACTTCTTTTAATGTTTTTTAAATAGATAATAATAATAATAATCCTTATTTGTAGAGCACTTTTCAAAAACAAGTTACAAAGTGCTTTAACAAGTGTAAAGAATAATACAAAAAAAGATAAGAGCATGAAAATTTTATATAAAATTAGTAAAATACAATAAAATAAAAGGGATAAAATAAAGTCAAATAAGATCGGGAAAAGCTCTCCTATAAAAGTATGTTTTAAGAAGGGACTTAAAAGAGTTCACTGACTCAGCCGACCTGATTTCCTCGGGCAGGCTGTTCCAGAGCCTCGGGGCCCTGACAGCAAACGCTCTGTCCCCTTTAGTTTTCAGTCGAGACTCTGGAACAGACAACAGACCTCTGCCCGAGGATCTCAAGGTACGTGCTGGTGCGTATGGGACTAAAAGGTCAGAAATATAACAAGGCGAGAGGCCATGAAGAGCTTTAAAAGTGATCAATAGAATTTTAAAGTCAATTCTAAAACATACTGGGAGCCAGTGTAATGAAGCTAAAATAGGAGTAATGTGGTCATATTTCTTTGTTCTGGTTAAAAGCCTGGCAGCTGAGTTCTGGACAGTCTGGAGTCGATCAATAGATTTTTGGGTTAAACAGGTGAAAAGGCTGTTGCAATAATCCAGGCGTGATGAGATGAAGGCGTGTAAAATGGTCTCGGTGTCCTTAAAAGTTAACATAGATCGAATTTTAGCTATATTTCTAAGTTGATAAAAACATGATTGAACAAGCTTTGTGGTGTGCTGCTCGAAATTTAAATTACTATCAAACCAAACACCAAGGTTCTTTGCCACAGGCTTAATGTGATTTACTAGGGAACCAGCAGATGGCAGTATTTGATTTGCCATCTGCTGGGACCCGATGACCAGGATTTCTGTTTTGTCTGAGTTCAGCTGGAGGAAATTATTTGACATCCATTTTTTAACTTCACAAAGGCAGTTGTTAAGTGAACTCAGCATTCCAGGGTCTGTGGATCTGACGGGCAAGTATATTTGTGTGTCATCAGCATAAATATGAAAAGAAATGCCATGTTTATGGATAATATGTCCAAGGGGAAGCAGATACAAGGAAAACAAAATGGGTCCTAAGACCGACCCCTGAGGCACACCATATTTAACTGGACAGAATGAAGAGACATAGTTGTTTACAGACACGCAAAACTTCCTATTTGACAGGTAGGATGAAAACCATTCTAGAGCAGTACCAGAGATCCCCACCCAGTGCCTCAGTCTGTCTAACATGATGTTGTGATCAATGGTGTCAAAAGCAGCGCTAAGGTCCAGGAGTACAAGGACTGAGCACATGCCTTCATCAGCAGACATTAAAAGGTCATTGGTGACTTTAAGCAGGGCAGTCTCAGTGCTGTGGTACTTCCTGAAACCAGACTGAAACTTTTCAAATATTTTGTTATTTTCCAGTACAGTGAGCAGCTGTTTGGAAACAATTCTTTCTAGAATCTTTGCAATAAAAGGCAGTTTTGAAATTGGTCTAAAATTTTGTGGGAGGGAGGGATCTAAACCAGGTTTCTTTAAAAGTGGGTTCACGCAAGCCGTTTTAAAATAATCAGGGACACAACCAGTAGATAGGGAGCTGTTGAAAACAGAGATCAAATGGGGCCCAACAGAATCTATTACTTTTAGTAAAAATTTTGTAGGTATTATATCAAGTGGGCCGGAGGACACTCTCATTTGTGATATTGTTTTTAAAAGCTCAGACAAGTCGATGGGATAAAACTGGTTAAAACTCTGTTGTTGCTGGTGAGGAACCTCTGAGTAAGAGGCCACGGGGGTAATAGAGGCTCTGATTGACACCACCTTATTGGTAAAATAAGATAAAAACAATTCACAGTCATCATTACTTCCAGCTGAGGCACAAGGAGGGGTTGGGTTTACCAGCTGATCCACAGTCTTAAACAGAAACCTGGGATTGTGTTTATGTGTAGTAATGAGTTCAGAAAAATAGTGTGTTCTCGCATCCTTAACCATTTTATTGTAGTTAATTAATAAATCCTTCAGACTGAGGTAATGGACTTGGAGATTGGATTTTTTCCATCTGCGCTCTGCTTTCCTGCATTCCCTTTTTAGGCTGCGAATGCTGTCATTTATCCAGGGTTGCTTACTAGCTTTAGACGTAGGCCCAACCTTTAGAGGAGCAGTAATATTTAGTGACGACAAGCAGATATGATTGAAGTGATCAACCAGATTGTTGGTGTTGGAATCAGACAGGTGTTGGCTTTGGCTCTGAAAGAATGCGCAAAACTTTGAAACACTTTGTTCATTAAAGATGCGACAACACACGGAGCTTGGTGAGGCGGCATGAGTAACAGGCGAATCGCAGCTAAAAACAATACATCTGTGGTCAGATATGGTCATGTCCACTAATTCCACAGAGGAAATGCTGACACCCAGGGTAAAAACCAAGTCCAGTGTATGACCACGGTTATGTGTTTGCCCTTTGACATGTTGTTTGAAGTTAAAAGAAGTGGCCATATTTAAAAAGTCAGTTGCATTAACATTGTTGGGGTCATCAACATGAATATTAAAATCGCCACAAAGAACAATTCTGTCATAATTTAAAACCAGAGTAGATAAAAATTCAGGAAGTTCTGATAAAAATCCTCCAGGCGGTTTTGGGGGGCGATAAATTATAACAAATATGATAGGTTGCAGCCCTCCAACTTTAAGAGTGAGAACTTCAAAGGAGCTAAATTCATCACAGCGTACTTGATGACATTTAAAATTTTTCCTATACACGCTCACTAGCCCACCACCACGACCACTGACCCTCGGTTGACTAAAGCAATCATATTGAGGCGGACACAGTTCAGCTAGCTGGCTATAGTCATTCATTTGCAACCAGGATTCAGTTAAAAACATAAAATCTAGATTTGCAGACAAGATAAAATCATTTAAGATAAAAGTCTTACTTGAAAGTGATCTCACATTGAAGAGAGCCATTTTAAATGAGTTTGTTCTGGGTGCTGGAGTTGGTGCAGTTGTCCTAATCCTTAAGAGATTACTATTATTTCTGTGTGGGATGTGCACATTTCGGTTTACTGGTCTATGAGTGATGATGACAGGAATAGAAGTCTGTGGAACAGCGCTGGGAGCAGACGGCTTTACATGCCAGCAGGTGGAGACAGTTGTTTGTGGCAGTGAGGCAGAGATCTGTTCTGTGAGCGGTGGTGTGTCCAGGTGTGCTGCATGAATGATGAGTCATTCACGTAAGTCATGTGTGGACCGCACCACATGCTGTATGTGCGCAGCTAACATTTCTGAGCCCCGTTTGTTTGGGTGAAGTCCGTCTGTCTTAAAAAGAGACATTCTTTGCCAGAAAATATTAAAATTATCCACATAAAACACACGGTGAGCCCTGCAGGCGGACTGGAGCCAGTCGTGGAGGCCAAGGAGTCTACTGAAGCGGCCAGCACCGCGACCAACTGTGGGAATGGGAACAGAGATAAAAACGGACTTTCCGCATTGCTTTAAAAAGTTAAGAAGACGGTTAAAATCTAATTTTGTCAGCTCAGACTGCCGAAGAGCTGTGTCATTTGTTCCGACATGGACTATCACTCTTGTGATGGAGGACGGGAGCGACGGCATCAGGTCCTGGAGTTTTTTTAAAATGTCAGCCGTGGTGGCACCGGGGAAGCAGCGAGTGGTAGCGTTAAAGAAACGGAGGTTTCTGGTTATGGAGTCACCAATTATTAGTGTGGTTGGGGAGAAAAGAGGACGAGGAGATGCTGGTTGTTGGGATCCAGAGCAGGACTGAGCAGAATCTGCTTCAACACTGCGTGCGGACTGAGGATGGAGTGTGTGAGCTGCCGAGTGTTGTGTTGGAGTAGCAGTAACAGACCTGAGAGAAGGGCTACCTGACGGTGCAGGGTAGAGACGGCCTCCGGAGCGTCTGAGCACAGCCTCCTTCAGGATCCTACGTCGGGAAGCGGAGGTTTTTGACCGGGATGACGGCCGCCGATCAAGTCCGGCGGCAGACCGGCGGCCCAGTGCAGGAGATGTAGCCGGTGGAGGAGATGCAACAGTGTCGGCAGGCACTGTGCGCCGAAAGAGATCCGTATCAGGGAGACTCGAAGCCGCAGGTGAATCCGCTGGATGGACCGGAGTGTCGTTAGACAAAGCTGCATAGCGGTTGGAGAGGCCGATGTCCGGAGGAGAGGCAGCCCCATCCGAGCCTCTCTTGCAGCCACGGACCACCACTTCAGCCCAGGTTGACTGATGCTTCGGAGTCAAGCAGGATGAAAGCCTGGGAAGACTAGAAGGGTCCCAAAACACGGTGTCCTGGATGTAGCGGTTGCGCTAAGAGAAACAATCTGTTTGGCTTGTACTGAAGCTACATCCATAAAGCCAGTCAGCAGGGAATCTTTCTCTTTGAGTTCCTCTGAAAGTCGTCGGATGTCTTCCATAAGGTCAGCAATCTTCTTGTTCGCTTTCTTAAGGAGTGTGCAGTCCTCAAGGGGCAGAGTTATCTCGGCTTGCATAGTCACCGGAGCTTTGTTGCGATCTGTAGCGTTGATCGCGTTTTTACGGTCATCTATCTTAAAATCCATGTCGGATGACTAAAATCCTTAACCCACGTAAAACTTAAATAAAGTTAAGTTAAATAAAAGGATATAAAAAATGTAACGAAAAAAGTGGATTAAAACTGGATAAGAGTCCGGTTCAAGACGGAGCTTCCGACAGGTGGCTACAGACGCCAACGCATGCGCAGAGTGCAGATTACGTCAGCAATTACGTCAGAGATCTTGTGAAAAGATGTGGCAGATGTTTCTCACATGGAACAAAAATGATATTGATTAAATTTTGCTGCACATTTAAGGATAAATTCTACAGTTTCCTTAATAACATGAATCCAGTATGGGTTCAGACTAAATTCGGAGCCAAACTCTTCAGATGGACAAACTTTTGTTTTAGCTGTTGTGATTTGTGCTCAGACAAGTCAGACAAACCCAGTAATCAAGAGAACTGAAGGAAATTTAAAACTTCTGTTATGATTTTAAATTTGGTAAATAAACACTGGACAACAGCAGAATACATGAACTGACCTCAGAGCCTCCAGTCTACAGTGTGGACTCTCCAGTCCAGCAGACAGCAGCTTCACTCCTGAATCCTGCAGCTCGTTGAAGCTCAGGTCCAGCTCTCTCAGATGGGAGGGGTTGGATTTCAGAGCTGAGGCCACGACTTCACAGTGAGTCTCTGAGAGTCCACAGCCATAAAGTCTGTGATGACAGAGAATGTAAAACTTTAAATATACGACAATCTGACGCTTTATTATAAAAGCAGACTGTGCATTTTGCATCACAAAGCACATTAACATGAGCGGCTGCAGCTCAGGTGGTCAGCTGGTCAGCCATTGATGACATTGATTGAAGGTTTGTTGTTTGAAACTTGAGCTCTTGTCCACATGTCAAAGTATGTGAGCAACATAATGAACCACAAATTACTGCTTCAGACAAAAGTGTCTGCCAAATGTCATGTTTAATTTGATGTTCACTGAGTTGTTAAATCACTGCAGGTTGGAACTGCACTCGTATGCATTTACCTCAGTTATGTGCTTATGTGTGTTCAATGAAAACCACAGTGGAAATGTGTGTGTTACAGGTACCAGCCTGCAGCACCATAAATAGCTAGATTTATCCTAAAATACAGGAAAGAATGATGAGACGTGGTCAGCCGTTGCTGAAATCTCCTAATTTATGGAGGAAAACCAGCAGAGCATGTGCTCTTGATTACAGTCCTTGGGTAAACCACAGTCCCCCAGCGCCACCTACTGTCAACTAAATGCTGCAGCAGATTTACCATTTTGATTTACAAACCATATTACTCATAATCATATCTGGACTTACCGAAACTTCCTGCAGTTCCTCACAGCTGGAATCAGTCTCAGTCGTCCCTCCTCTGATGTGTTGTACTTCTTTGGGTCCAACTTATCCAGAACCTCCTCTGACATCTGCAGCATGTAGGCCAGAGCTGAGCAGTGGATCTCAGAGAGTTTCTTCACTGATCTGTTCTCTGACTTCAGGAACTCTTGGATCTCCTGATGTATTGAGTGGTCGTTCATCTCGATCAGACAGTGGAAGATGTTGATGCTTCTGTCGGGAGAGATTTTTGTATTCCTCTGTTTCAGGTTGTTGATGGCTCTCTGGATGATTTCTGGACTGTTGTCTGTCTGACCCAGCAGGCCTCCTAAGAGTCTCTGGTTGGACTCCAGAGAGAGGCCATGAAGGAAGCGAACAAACAGGTCCAGGTGGCCATTTTTACTTTGGAGAGATTTCAACATGGCTCCCATTAAGAAGACATCCAGGGTTGAATCAACATGTTTTTTCCCCAGGAAGGCCTTCAGTATCTCTGTGTTCCTGCTGGTGTAACAGTGGAACATGTAGACTGCAGCCAGAAACTCCTGAACGCTCAGATGAACAAAGCAGTAGACTGTTTTCTGGAAGATCACACTCTCTCTTTTGAAGATCTCTGTACAAACTCCTGAGTACACCGAGGCCTCTGTGACATCAAGACCACACTGCTCCAGGTCTTCTTGGTAGAACATGATGTTTCCTTTCTCCAGCTGTTCAAACGCCAGCCTCCCCAGCTTCAGAAGAACCTTCCTGTCAGCCTCCGTCAGCTCCTGTGGACTCGTCTCATGTCCCTCATCGTACTTGTGCTTCTTCCTCTTTGTCTGAACCAGCAGGAAGTGTGAGTACAGGTCAGTCAGGGTCTTGGGCAGCTCTCCTCTCTGCTCTGTAGTCAACATGTGCTCCAGAACTGTAGCAGTGATCCAGCAGAAGACTGGGATCAGACACATGATGTGGAGGCTCCTGGAGGTCTTGATGTGTGAGATGATTCTGCTGGACAGCTCTTCATCACTGACTCTCCTCCTGAAGTACTCCTCCTTCTGGGCGTCAGTGAAGCCTCGTACTTCTGTTACCCTGTCAACACATGAAGGAGGGATCTGATTGGCCGCCGCAGGTCGGGAAGTTATCCAGACGAGAGCCGAGGGAAGCAGATTCCCCTTGATGAGGTTTGTCAGCAGCAGGTTGACTGATGACTTCTGTGTGACATCAGACACGACCTTCTTGTTGTTGAAGTTTAATGAAAGTCTGCTTTCATCCAGGCCGTCAAAGATGAACAACGGTTTCCAGACAGCGAGCTTCTCTGCTGGGACCTTCTGTAATGTTGGATGGAAAACATGGAGCAGCGTGAGGAGACTGTGCTGCTCATCTTTGATCAAGTTCAGCTCCCTGAACGAGAGCAGAACCAGCAGACTGACATCTTGGTTTTCCGAGCCCTCTGCCCAGTCCAGAGTGAACTTCTGCACTGAGAAGGTTTTTCCAACGCCAGCGACGCCGTTGGTCAGAACCACTCTGATGGCTCTCTGTTGGCCAGGTAAGGCTTTAAAGATGTCCTGGCACCTGATTGGAGTGTCATGGAGGGTCTCCATCTTGGAAGCTGTCTCAAGCTGCCTCACCTCATGCTGGGTATTAACCTCTTCACTCTGTCCCTCTGTGATGTAGAGCTCAGTGTAGATCCTGTTGAGGAGGGTTCCACTTCCTGTTTCATCACTTCCTTCAGTCACACGTTCACATCTCCTCCTCAGACTGATCTTATGTTCATCTAAAACCTCCTGCAGACCACTATCTGCTGAAAGAGAAGAACAAATAACCTGAGACTAAACAGAGAGCAAGAATCCAGATAAATCAAATGTTTCTGGATGGATGATATTCATGAGAATATTAAAAACCAAATGATTATTGGATATGATAATTAAACAGAAAGTCCTGTTTTCAGACATGACGACATCAGCAGACAGATTCAAGATGGCACTGCGTAAGATAGCAGCCTCTGGATTATGCTCCATAGTGCTTTTTGTGTTTTCTGCTGCCCCTTTCTGGTAACTTTTACCAGAGAAGAGCTCTTAAACATCAGACTTTCTGCTGCTAACACTATTACACCGCTCCTGATCGAACCTGGAACTTTATTCTAGTTATTAGTTGGAGGAGCGGCAAAGCAGCAAAGAGATACTACGCTGTAACTATAGGAGACCATCCCCCAATTCTGCTGGCTGACGAGCTGAATGGTTTCTATTGTAGGTTTGAGAAGCCCACAGTCACACCTCTCCCCCACTTCAACACCATCTTCAAACAGTCACCTTCCTCCACTGCCTTGCTCTCACTCCCCCTCTCTGTCCCCTCTCCTGAACTTCACGATTTGTGAAGAGGATGTGCACCAGCTCTTCGAGAAGCAGAAGATCAGGAAGACTCCTGGCCCAGATGGTGTGTCACCATCCTGCCTGAAAATCTGCGCCGTCCAGCTGACCCCCATCTTCACACAGATCTTCAACAGATCACTGAAGCTGTGTGAAGTTTCCCCCTGCTTCAAATGCTCTACAATCATCCTGGGCCCCAAAAAAACCATCATCTCTGGATTAAATGACTACAGGCCTGTCGCTCTGACATGTGTAGTCAAGATGTCCTTTGAAAGACTGGTGTTGGCCCACCTGAAGGACATTACAGGCCCCCTGCTGGACCCCCTGCAGTTTGCCAAAGGGCTAACAGGTCTGTGGATGATGCTGTCAACTTGGGTCTGCATCACGTCCTGCAACACCTCGACTCTCCAGGCACATATGCAAGGATCCTGTTCGTGGACTTCAGCTCGGCGTTCAACACCATCCTCAGCACCAAACTCACCCAGCTCACTGTACCAGCCTCCACCTGTCAGTGGATCACAGACTTCCTGACTTACAGGAGTCAGCAGGTGAGGCTGGGGAACATCACATCCAGCACCTGGACTATTAGCACTGGCGCCCCCCAGGGGTGTGTGCTCTCCCCACTGCTCTTCTCCCTCTACACCAATGACTGCACCTCAGGAGACCCATCTGTCAAACTCCTGAAGTTTGCTGACGACACAATAGTCTTCGGCCTTATATGGGTCGGTGATGAGTCGGCCTACAGACAAGAGGTTGATCAGCTGGCACTCTGGTGCGGTGGAATCTGTCAGGTTTCTGGGATCCACTATATCTCAGGACCTGAAGTGAGAGCCCAACACTATCATCAAGAAGGCCAAGCAGAGGATGTACTTCCTGCGCCAGCTCTGGAAGCTCAACCTGCCTAAGGACCTGCTGATCCAGTTCTACACAGCCATCATCCAGTCGGTCCTCTGCACCTGGAACTCCATGTTCATCACTGTCCAGGCAGTCAGGACTGGAGAAAAAAATCATTGGTGCAAACCTGCCCTCCATTCAGGACTTATGCATTTCCAGAGTCAGCAAATGGGCAGGAAACATCACTGCAGATCCATCTCACCCCGGACACAACCTATTCCAGCTCCTCCCCTCCAATAGGCGCTACAGAGCACTGTACGCCAAAACCAACAGACTCAGGAAAAGTTTCCTCCCACAAGCCATCTCTCTGATGAACAGCTGAGTCTGACTGACAATGTCATGAACCATTCCTGTGCAATAACCCAGTAACTCTGCCACCTGTTTCCTGGCTACCAATTACTATTTATTCATCATTATCTATTTCAGAGCTGTTCATACTGTTCATATTGTCTATTGTATTTACTGTATACCAAATCCACCTACCTCTTGTACATAACACCTGCACATAATACTTAATTATTCCAGCATTCTTTGCACTCATCACACTGTGTACATGTATGCTTGTATGAGTAGGTGCGCCTGTATATCACATACACCTCCGACATGTACTGTACATAATAATAACGGTAATAATGATTTTCTCCTGCACTCTGCTCATTGTATTATTGTCTCAATCTGTCTGTTTTTGTTTATAGTGTGTATATATGTGTTCTCTATACTGTAGCCTGTGTTTGATTTTATTATTGTCTTATTGTCTTATTGTATAAGTAAACACATCGTGAGCATTGCACAATCCAGAGTCAAATTCCTTGTAGGTGTACACATAAAGCGGATTCTGATTCCGTTTCTGAACAGTCTTACTTTGTACAGAGCTGCTCTTACTGGCTGTCTGCAGTCCAGCTCTGGTTCTGGATCTTACCTCCACACTGGGGACAGGAGGAGTCTCCTGATGAAGCAGACTGGTCCCAGTATGAGGTGATGCACTGTCTGCAGAACCAGTGTCCACAGCTAGTAGAGACTGGATCCTTCAGGACGTCCTGACACAAAGCACAGCAGGACGGCTGCTCCTCCACAGGAACAGGACTCCTCTTCCTCTCTCTGTGAAGACATTTCTTTAGAACTAAAATGATTTGTTGCTTGTTGTTGAAAAATCTCCAGATGTGTCCGACACTGTGTAGAAGCTCAGATGGTCACAGAGAACAGTAAAAGTGTCGTTACTTTTCTGTTTTCAGTCAGTAATGAAGATGATTGTTCCTTTTATTTCAGCTCTCCTGCTTTCAGAAACACTAATTAACTGCTTTTCCTGTCTGACTGTCTTATTAAACATTTAGTGATCTGCCTGGAGTTTGTTATTAATACAAACTCAACACTTCCTGCAGCTCCTTCACAGTAAAAGCCTCCATTAAAGAGAGCTGATTATGTCCTTCACTGTTTTATAGTCACTCTGGGCAGCTTAGCTTGAGTTAGTTTGTTTTGAACTGAGGTTAGAAGTGGTCTAAATAATTGTGGTAGACCAGCAGTCTCAGACACAGAGCATGTAACAGTGGTGTCACATGTTCAAGTCCAGACAGTTTCCTTTATGTATTTAGGAAGTTTAAAGTTTGCATGAGTCCTCTTAGATCAGATTCCAGCTTCTCGATGTGACTGACAGCTGTCGCAGATACTAAGAGGAAGACGGCACCAATGATTTCTCTTTGTCTGTGGCATAAATCTTAGTTAGTGGTTATATTAAGAAGGTGTGACTCCTCTGGGTGTGGGACCTCTTACTAACAGAAGCCTGCTCCAACCTCCTAAACCACTTGTGGTGACAGGAGATACATCAATCTGTTCAGACCATCTTCATTCCCACTGTGACTGCATCATGTGTAGCTTAGTTATCAAATAGCTCCAGCACCATTAGCACCTTTTCCACTGCATAGTATCAGCTCGACTCGCTTCAATTCTACTCGCCTTTGTTTGGTTTTCCATTGTGGAAAAGTTGTACCTGTACCTGCTTCCAGGTACTTTTTATCAAATCACGAATGTCGAGGTTCCAAGCGAGCTGAGGAGATACTAAAATGTGACGTGAGGGAGGAGCGTGTGATGGCTGTCTTGGCCATTTCCTCTTATGCATTTGGCTTTCTTTATTGTGATATGTTTGTTTTTTGGTGCACCTTCAATACATATAACAGGTATTTCCATTATGTAAGCAACTGATTGTTTTAATAAACATTCCTTGTCCTTTTGTGTGTCTTAAACTACACAGTAATGATGGCCAAATGCATTTACCATAAGGAATTCGTAAGCATACATTCATGGACCTGGATCATTGTTGGACTGATTCTGTATTTCAACACAAATACATTTAACCGTTATTGTAACACTCAGTAAAAAATCCCCAAGTCAAAATGATTCACACTCACTGAATTGTGTTACACTCAAACTGAATGAGGGCAACTTCCATCCAAGTGCCAGATTATTTTATTACACTGCAAACACAGTAAAGGGACAGTCTTGGATGAATAAGCGCTTGCTTGTTTGATGTTGGATGTTTTGGTACAAGTTAGGATGTTTTAATGAGTCTAGACTTTGAGAACTGTGTGGTCTGTATTTGTTGCACTTGTATTTACAGCTGTTTTTCCAGGTCTTTTCAGGATGAAGTGTGGCCTAACCATATTTTGTAATACATTTACATTTCTTCTGTTTCTTGGTTCTCTTGAACTAAAACACTTTCATGAAGGGCACATTCACTTTAGAGTTTAAAAGTAATGAAAATCTTGGGTAACAATATCTGGGAGAAGTAAAGGCTGTTTGTCTTTTTTCAGAATTTAATCCAAGATGAAAGGGAGAGACTTTCTTTGGTAATGAAGCCTAATGTCACTCTACAACTGGGAAATTGCAAAACATTACCAGCAAACACTGAATGAGTTCGTAGCAGTTCTCTTACTTTGTGTCTGAGGGTCCAGGTTCATTACTGAAGAATATAGGTTCATGTTTGGACCGGTCACTCTTCATAGACAGACAGCTGGATCCTGCAGACTCTGCTCTGTCCTCCTCTTCCTCCACACAAACACTCATCTTCTGGGCTTCAGTCAGTCTGAGAGGTGAAACAGTGACACTGACTGTGAGCTCAGAACACAAGAACCAGTATGTCAGAGACAGCAGGGGGTCTCCCTGAGGTGGTCTGCTATCTTTGTGAAGTGAAATCAGTCAGTGGACACAAAATGTTTTCTTTTCACATGAGTTCGAATTTTGGCTGAATGTAGTAAGCTTTCTTTGATAATATAATATTTTCTTTAGATACTTGTGTTGTTTTAAGCATTTATTTATTTAAACGTTTCTGCCACATCAATTGCATTATGTTCAGCAGAAGCTCACTTTTATTTTGAAATGTGCTGCGACACGATGTTACTGTAATAGGCGCTCTTAGTAGTGATGACAAGTTCAACTCTTTTGACAGAGTCATTCATTCAAATCTCGTTCATTAAAATTAACTAATATTTTTTTGTCATTTGGTTCATTTGAACTAGGCTGGTTATTGTGTTGCTGCAGTCTTCTAGTAGGCGATTAAAAAACAGCACCGTTCTCAAACACAGAGGGCTGCCTGGCTTGCTTTATTTGAAAAAGTATAATGCACAAATTCCCCTCTTGATCACTCTCTATCATCATTATATAAACCCCCCTGGGCCTACAACCAAATTCAAACCATGTAAAAACCACAGAAATATCTTGTCTATATGTAATCAGCACTACTCCGGCTAAATCTTTCCATTGTCACAATCTTTCCTGAGTTTACAACCAGACCAGCCATATAAAGGATTATGTATATAATTACTATCATTATCTCTGAAGTGCTCATTCATACAGCAGCCTAACGTCTCTATCCATGAGTAAAATATTAATATCAGTAAAGCAGTAAATATACTGAAGTAATAAGCTTGATACACTATATGAATAAACACACCCTTATTAAAATTCAGCCAATTTAATAATAATCTGGATCGAGCCACCAAGTTCTTAAAAGACCTCCAGCACAGAGAGAGGAACAAAGAAATATTAACACATTATATAAAGCAGCAGTTTGGCAGCTCTGGACGCAGAATGGGCCACATCAGGTCCTGATTCTGCAGACAGAGAAACACACATGAGCATATCACTCTCAAACACTGCAGGTTGTTCACCAGTCAGGAGCTGTGAAACAACAGCACGGATCTGCTGGTAAATAAAAAGTAAAAGTTACGTTGCGTTCTCTGGTGGACCTGGATCAGCTGTTAGCTGTAAACACTAGCAGGACTAAAATTACGGTGCAGCTGTGTTAAAACTATAACTTAGCACAACATCACTGCGCTGTAATAACGTTATGCTTTATTAAATGTTACATAATTAACAAAATAGCTATATAATGTCAGTCCAGTAACTGTTACCTGACAGCCGACCTGCCCCTCATTCTCCGGCGCTGACAGTAACTCAGCCTGCAGAATGAACTAAAGACTGAGATGGACCCATGTGAGCGCTGAACGAGTCGTTCATGCTCCACAGTAGCTGTCATGTGACAAATGAACGACTCAAACAGACCCACAGTCTAATAACTATTAGCTTTTAAATAGCGACTTGTTCGTTTTAAGGAATAGCCTTCAGGTAAAAACGGCTTAGTGAAAGTGTATAACACAGGTGTTATTTGCACAGTACAAACTATTTAAATAAATATATCAACAAAAACAGTGAGTACAGCATTGTCATGTTTTTGTTTTGCATGACTGACAATCAGGAAGACATCTTTATTTAAGATATCATAATATTTTTAATTTGATATTACTGACGATCAGCCACTTTCTCCACGGCAACAAGGTCACAGCAAGGTTGCACAGATTTATGGGCGTGGAAACAGACCACGCTTTTGGGTCATACACACGCGCAGAATAGGTAGCATAAAGCGACAGAACACCGGTTCCAAAATTTCTCAAAAATCAATAAGGTTCGAGCTTATCCATACTTCTATCGAGACTTGCGGGCTATAACTAGTCTTAAAAACTCAGCTGCTGGCTGAGACAAACCAGCCGCTCCTCCTTCCACCAGGTAACGTCACCTGCAGCCAGGAGAGAGGAGGAGGAGGGACTGATAGGCTGATGTTGTTCTTTCTAATCATCACTCACTACTTGTGATGTCAGATAAAGTTATTGAGTTACTTCACTGTTGTAAAAATTAATATTGCTGCTCTAGAAACAATATTTAGCTGAATTTAAAATATTAAATTAAAAACAACCAGGCAGTTACTATTTACACTCCGTGACCCTGCCAACAGCAAATATAAATAATGATTCAATCATGGCCATGGGATGGATGTAGCCTCGACTTCAGGAAACACAAAGTGTTGAGTTCACTCTAATGTTTCTTTCCTCTGCAGTCCACAGGGAGAAAACTGACTTTGACAGTAACATAATAAAAATGTTGGATTAACACTCACCTGCCTCAGCTTTCAGATTTCCTCCTTCTGCTCTGTCGACTCAAAATGGAGTTTGGCTGTTACCTGTCCTCACCTACTCAGTGTTGCTCCTCCCCCTCTTCAACTCTCTATTTACAGGAAATCAGGTGAGTGAAGTGTGTGTGTGTGTGTGTGTGTGTGTGTGTGTGTGTGTGTGTGTGTGTGTGTGTGTGTGTGTGTGTGTGTGTGTGTGTGTGTGTGTGTGTGTGTGTGTGTGTGTGTCGCGCTGATCTGGCAGAGGTGCGCCTGTCTCCCGTGTGCCCGCCTCCTCTTGCATGCCGTCTCACCTGCGTGCCGCCCCGCTCTGCATCGGCAGCCGCGTGTGACCGTGCGTGCGCGCCCTGGCGCACCCTCGACCAGGTGAATTAGATTGAGCAATCAGAAGCTCGCACACACTTCAATCAGCGGGGGCATATAACGCAGTCATTTGGCTGGTGGAAATGGACTGACACGACGGAATGAGCAGCACACATCCACTGCGGGGAATGAGACTTTTGATTTTGACGGGCTATCGGTAAGCTCACTTGAACATTGTTTAAATCTTTTCTGTTTAGGTGTTAATATGGGTGTGTTAAAGTTGTCGCTGCATGGTTGAAGAGAGGGAGAAACTATGTTCAAATGCATGGATATATATGGTTAAAATATGTGGGTTTTCTACCTAATTTGTGTAAAAGAATGCTTAAATAGTAAGCCAAAATTGTTTTGTTAAAGATTAATTAAAATGCATAATTAGTTTGGTGAAATGTGAAGAATAATATTGAATTTAAATATACTTATCGTTTTTGAAATATTTACCTTGACTTGTGTTTACTGTGGAAATACCTGTTTATTCAAAATGCTTTTTATTTCTGTGTTTAAAGGTTTTTCACCTATACTGTTCAACTCCTGTTCAATTATTCAAATAAATTATTCTGAGTGAAATCCGAAGTCTGGTCCTTTTCAAGTGTGGACACCTCACAGTTAAAAGAAACACTTGACAGTGTGTGTGTGTGCGCACTTACCAACCTATCTAACAGTGGACCTCGACGTCGTTACACACCCACTAAGAGGGGACTAAAAAGTGAACAGGGGACATTTTTTAGGTCCCCTGTTGGACATGCTTTAAATCATGCTAAAATCATGTCTAAAACCATCTGGTAAATTTTTTAAACTATTGTCAAGAGGGGACCTGCAGGTGTGTGAGTGTTTAAGTCCATACTCAGCAGTGCCTCTAGTGGATCCAGCAAAGATTTTAACGACTCATTCACACACGTCGTTCTTAACACTCCCCTATAGAGTGAATGGCTTGCAGCCCCAGGGAGTCTATCAGACTGTAGAGGGGCTATTATACAAGCTACTCAGTAAAGAAAGCTGTCTCTTGAAACACAATTTCTTAATTTTTTCTAACAAAATATACAGGCTGAGTTTTAGTCGATGTCTTGTGTTTTAAGATCAACATGTATTAAAATACAGGGCTACACTGAAGGCCTGGAGAGTAAAACGAATTTTAGAATCTCAATAAGGGAACAAAAACAGAAAAACAGCAAGAGTAGAATTATAAATAAAATGGTCAGTATAAAGATACTTTTATGGTTTCAATTCATTATAAAAAATGAATGAATTAATAAAAAATTATTTGACATTTGTCATCTAGAGATTTTAACTTGTTCAGTCGCAAAATACTAACCTGACCAGATTTCACAAGCACTGGACATCAATACTTCCCCCCCCCCCCCATTATATTTGTGTGCTTAGTCTACACTTAAAGATATGCATTTCATTTATTGATTTGAATTACAGAAAAAGGGACCACACTTGTACTGTGTGGAACGACAGGAGTCCACTGTTCGCTTGTAGATGATGACACAAGTTCACTCTTAGATAGCATGGAGCGATAATCACACTCCAACTTGTGTGAAAATAATAAATAAGCAAATTTAATCATAAAACTAAATAGTCTCTTTATTTTCTATACATTCTTTTGAAACAAAACATAAAGGCTGAGTTTTAGTGGATGTCTTGTGTTTTAAGATCAACATGTATTAAAATAAAGGGCTACACTGAAGGCCAGGAGAGTAAAATGAATTGTAGATTCTAAAAACCGGAACAAAAATAGAAAAACAACCAGGGTAGAATTAGAAATAAAATGGTCAGTATAAAGATACTTTCTTTACGGTTTTAATTAATTATAAAAAAAAAATGTATTAATTAATAAAAAAATATTTGACATTTGACATCTAGAGCTTTAAACTTGTTCTGTCCCAAAATACTAACCTGGCCAGCTTTCACAAGCACTGGACATCAATACGTTTTTTTTTCATTATATTTGTGTGCTTAGTCTACACTTAAAGATATGCATTTCATTTATTGATTTGAATTACAGAAAAAGGGACCACACTTGTACTGTGTGGAACGACAGGAGTCCACTGTTTGCTTGTACATGATGACACAAGTTCCCTCTTAGATAGCATGGAGCGATAATCACACTCCAACTTGTGTGAAAATAATAAATAAGCAAATTTAATCATACTTTTGAGACAAAATAAACTAACTAAATAGTCTCTTTATTTTCTATACATTCTTTTAAAACAAAATATAAAGGCTGAGTTTTAGTGGATGTCTTGTGTTTTAAGATCAACATGTATTAAAATAAAGGGCTACACTGAAGGCCTGGAGAGTAAAATGGATTTTAGATTCCAAAAAAAGGAACAAAAATAGAAAAACAACCAGAGTTGAATTATAAATTAAATGATTAGAGGTAAGATACTTTCTATTCAGTTTTAATTAATTGTTAAAAAGTATTTCACATCAGACTTTGACTACAGCTTTAAACTTGTTCAGTCCTAAAACACTAAACTGACCAGTTTTCACAACCACTGAATGTCAATACATTTTGTCATCATATCTATGTGCTTAGTCTACACTTACAGAAATGCATTTTATTTATTGATTTGAATTACAGAAAAAGGGACCACACTTGTACTGTGTGGAACGACAGGAGTCCACTGTTCTCTTGTACATGATGACACAAGTTATAATAATCACACTCCAACTTGTGAGAAAAAAATAAATAAGCAAATTTAATCATACTTATGAGAAGAAACTAACTACAGAGTGTCTTTATTTGGTATAATCTGTTATTGTAAGAAAATATAAAGCCTGAGTTTTTATTGAAGTTATTTTCAACAAAATACAAAGGTTGAGTTTTAGTGAAATTCCTAAATTGTTTCAAGCTTCAGACTACTAAAATGATAGACTACCCAGTAGACAGCAGAATGAGTATTTTAAAAGCACAAAAAGCACAAAAAGTGAAAGTAAAAACAAAATGAATACAAAGGTCAGCTGCAAGATCTCTTCATTTTTAATCAATGGATTTAATGCTGTTAATTATCATGATACATGACCAGTGTTTGTATGTGTCCTAAATCTATATTTAGGAAGTTGTTGCTCGCAAACACATTGACAACAGACCTGTCTGTCAATTGAATAGTTAGTTTCCTAAACACCGCTGCACAAATCTATCCAACACAATGTTGTCAATGTCGGAGACCCACCTTCAAAAAAGTTATCAGCAAGCATGTAAGGAGCCTAGCTAATAAGGATAGCTATGTTAGTTTTAGAATACAGCTGTCAAAGTTAGAACGCTGTGCATAACTGGTAGTCAGTAGGTGTGGCCGAGATGAGCTACTTTTGTACAGTTGAAATCACATCATGTCGAAACTAAAGTGTGAAATGTTGAAAAGGTTAGTTTAGCTACAAATGAACAAGTTCATATGTGCGTGTTTAGGTTTTATGATGTGGTAATTAAGGGGCTAAATGAAGCCTGTCTCTGAAAAATTTAAAATCTTTCTAAAATGCTTCGGCAGTACATTTGTTCTTAGCCTTAGAGAAAGGTCCACAGAGACATTCAGACACACTTTACAAATAATATGAAATAAGCAAAATGGACAATTCGAAAATTATAATCTAAACCAAATATATAAGCTGTAGTGTTGTTGTTTTTGTTTTTTAGAAAAGTGTCACCAGCAATGTTCTCATTGTAGCTTTTTGAAATGTGGGGTTAAACATTTGTTGGCGAATAGAGAAGCATATTTGAGGGCTGTCAAATGGTGCAGCATCGTAACAATGGAACTTAGAGTTTGCATCAACTGGAGAACACACAACCAGTGCTGCATTAAGTTCACACTGATATTTGGCAGGTATTTGTCTTCATAGATTTTTACATCTCAATATTTTCAACTTCTTTCTTTAGCATGTACAGTTTAAATGTGTGTTAGTGATTTTAATAGCCATTGAAATAGTGATGAGTTACCTATAGATCATCTCAGAACCATCACAACGTTGGATGGCTATTCATAACACAAGTTGTTCAACCACAAATAGAAAACAGTACAAAATATACAGAACTATGTTGAAGCAAACTTTATTGAATGTGCTTTTAAGCTAAGACACACACAAACTCCTAAACTGAAAGTTCCTCATGTGCCCACCCTCTTCTGTGTTCTTACACTGAAAATTATAAACGCAACACTTTTGTTTTTGCCCGAATTCCTCCGGTGAGTATGCTGGCCATGCAAGAAATGGGATGTTTTCAGCTTCCAGGAATTGTAATCCTTGCAACATAGGGCCGTGCATTATAATGCTGCAACATGAGGTGATGGTTGTGGATGAATGGCACAACAATGGGCCTCTGGATCTCGTCATGGTATCTCTATGCATTCAAAATGCCATCAATAAAATGCACCTGTGTTTGTTGTCCATGAAACACGCCTGCCCATACCATAACCCCACCATGGGCCACTCGATCCACAACTAGGACATCAACAAACCGCTCACCCACACGAAGCCATACACACGTCATCTGCTCTGCACAGTGAAAACTGGGATTCATCCATGAAGAGAACACCTCTCCAAAGTGCCAGACGCCATCGTATGTGAGCATTTGCCCACTCAAGTCGGTTATGATGGCAAACTGCAGTCAGGTCGAGACCCCAAAGAGGATGACGAGCATGCAGATGAGATTCCCTGAGATGGTTCCTGACAGTTTGTGCAGAAATTATTTTAGGATGCTAAACGATTCTTGCAGCAGCTGTCCGGCTGGCTGGTCTCAGACAATCTTGGTGGTGAAGATGCTGGATGTGGAGGTCCTGGGCTGT